TTGACTTTATTCTTGATTGTTTCGCATAAAAAACCCAATTTCAAATTTTAAAGCACCGTTACGCCGTGATCTCCAAACAATAAGTTGACAGAAAATAAAAAAATAAACGGATCGTGTCGTGACGTTAGAAACTATCCGTACAATGGAAACATCGGGCAAGCTTCAACGCGTACTGGCCGCGCTTCTAGGTCGTTGACCCCGTCTGACCGACGCCCGCGCAGCTCTGTGTTTTGCATCCACTAAGTGCGCCTCGCCAGCCAACTTTCATGTGGGTCAGTCAGGTAATTACTTGTGTGTCGCTCGGCACTGCGTTTTACGGTCAGCAAGCAATCCATAGAGAGGACCCGTTCTGATTTGATGTGCAACTATCTAATCTAGATGTTGGATAAAATCAGGAGAGCTGAGCGTATGGTTACGAGGATAAGTGGCGTGTTGTCTTGTAATCGCGGTGTAAAGCCTCGCGGTAGACGATCAAGTAAAATACGGGTAAATAGCTTCACGAATAGCTGTTTCCGCATTTCTTAGGTACCTCTTAAGATGTCTTTCACTTCTTGTTATTACATACACATTGTGAAATCATCATCATCGTCGTCTTTTACCTAATAAGTTGGTGACTGCACAAATTGTGAAACATTATTGAAGGTTATTTTTTTAAACACTAATCCGGAACAGTTATTGTGGATGACATGGACACTTGTCCCGTGTGGAAATCGTACCCACGACCCCGCGAGCCAGTATCTAAGCAACTGCAACTTCAATCAATATGCACTATCTTGTTAATAATAATACAGATTTTATTGCACAGTCAACGACGATAAATCCACAAACTGCGACACAGAGACATTCCCTAAGTACGGACCATCAAACTGGAAATAAAACAGACGCCACGTACAATAAAATAATCTAAGCCGAAATTAGCATAATAGTTAAACGCATTGCTTAAAATGAGAATGTAGATGAAAATACGTTGAGGTTTACATCGGTGTGTTAAAGCGCCTGGGCGTGAATATGTGGGTTCGATCAACTTGATTTTGAGGAGTTCTCTGAAGTATCTGATCAGAGTCCAAATCCCAATACCAATAACATTAATATGACAACTATTGGGTTCAGTTTAGTTCCCTATATGCAAAGATAATTTTAAAATTGGTTCATAAATCAACTTCTGAGGTAACAATGGAAAAAAATACAACCGAATTTTTTGATGTCGATTGATAAATACTAATTCTATTACAACACGATGAAACGGCAGTGTCATATAGCCAATAGTAGTCTGTGAAGACCATTATAATAACTTTTACTGTGTTTGTGGCATTATAAAGCGTGCAGTTTTATAGCTGGACACCGTAGGATTTAAACATGAACTGTATAGACGGCTTTGAAATACGGGCCTTAAAACTGTTAGCGCTGACGTCACAACACAGTAATGTCGCTGTCAACAGTTTTATATATACAAATATCTTTAGAATCTAAATTCGAAAATACCTTTAGATATTCATCCTGAACTAGTTAAATTATTACAGGTGATTTTAACTGAAGTTTTATTTTAAAGTTATTTGTTTCAATAAGCCTTAACTACAAAAAATTTAAATGTTTATTTGCAAAAATCATTATTAAAACGTGGTTATAACATGGACTTTAAAATTTTATCCGAGCATAAAGTTCACACAAGAAATTATTATCGAGAAATGAGGTAACATTTAAAAATAAACAGGTACATAAATGCTTTGGCATTTCGTATCGGACAATAATACCTTCATTCGTACGAAGCTCAACTTAAATATACCATTACTTCTTAAATTTATTTATATAAATATAAACATGAGCAGATTTGTAATTCGAGATAGTCTGTAAACGAATTCGTTCTTTGATATCAATTGCTGATTCAGAACAAAGCGGTAGCGACGTGCCGTTTCGAGAACTCTGAGAAATTAAATATCGTTACACTACAACGTTATTATAGTACGAAACAGTTGAAAAAAACAGGTTTGAATACTTGATATCGTGCCCAGTTTGAGGGAGTAATTTGAATTTTATTTGTGTTTTATTATTAACGTCATCACATTAGTAAAGGTTGTTTCGACAAGTTTTAACAACTTTTTATTTGTGAGTCTGCTTGTATATAATAATATTGCAAGTAGGTAACCTCGATCAGAAAAGTAACACTACCACATAGGGTCTGCTTAAAAGCTTCCCATTGGATGTGGATTCAACTCGAGGGAAAGGAGACGATCATATACCGTCATATGCCATCATACCACGTAACAAACGTTTTCTTTGATGGAATAGTGTAAGCAGTTTTCACAAAGAGCGTTATAAAAACATACGCTACTTCAAAGCACACCGCTAATTGCGCCATCAAAATGAGAGAAACTAGATGAGCACGGCTTTCTAATATCAGATGTCAAACTGGTCGCTCCGCGCACCGTGTCGGGGTCATTGTTAACCGCCGCCGTTTGTCAATGCTGGAAACTATATCGCGACGGCGTGAAAAACGGCTCGTTTTCATTTGCGATAAAAGCGTATATAAATAACGGAATTAGCATCTCTAGCGTAGTCCGCTTGGCTTTAACCATCATCATCATTTCAGCCTGTTTTGGGTCCACTGCGGAACATAGCCCTCCCCCACAGACTGCCACGAAGCACAATCCTGTGCCACCTGCACCCATCGATTTCTAGCACATTGGCCCTTGGCTTTAATCCTCTTTAAGTATTATAATTAAAATATCTTTATTTAATATAAGAGCATTATACTCACTTGTTGATTGTCGAAATACTACTTCATAGATGAGGTACTTCACAGTAGTGGAGTAACAAAGGTTACTTTGACAGGAACAAACTGCCACATCCATTGATGCAAACGTGATCGACTAAGACAGCTGATGCATTTCCCGTCTCACTTTATTCAGTAACAAAAACAGAAATTAGAAAAATGAAAAAAAAAAAACATTTTCACGGAACAAATGAGAAAATCGGAAAAAGAATGAAGACAATTACGAATCGTATGTATATTACCTTAAGATCGCAATTCCGACGCAACTGCAACTACGCCTGTCATTGACAAAATAAACGCGAATTCTCTTAATTCAAAAATTAACGCAACGCGACATTAAACATCGAATGCAATCATTCAAAGGCATTAATATAGAATAGAAGGGGCAATAGACAGTTTAAAAGGCTTGGAAAGGCCAGTCGAGTGTTTTGCCCTCTCGGTCACGCCGCATTTCAGATCGCTTTCCGTCCTGCTCTACACAACGTTATTATTAAGTTTTGCGAACATTTTTTTTTTTCTATTAAGCGACAACTCTATTTTAACCCTCAAGAGTACAGGCACGAAACTCGCGAAACAAAGTTCCCTCGAGCGCGTTTAAGTTTTAAAGGCCGATAAGTGTCATAATAGCGTGCACTCAATATATCGTAGTGGCACTAGAGCGGACGTTTGGATCGGATGCTGCATGAGAAAGTGAGCTCTATAGGTGTGGCGGGGTGTCGGCCTGCGTAGGGACCAGTTAGACCGGTCGGCCCGCGGCGGGCTTGCACGACCTGCCATTGTCTAGAAATAGCCTTAGCCGTAACATGAAATTATAGTTAGCACGTAGTTCAAAGCCAGGAAGTTGAGCGGGAATAACATTTATGAAGCCAGTTGGACGCTCTATTTATTCTAGGTACACGCCGTGTGCAATTTAATTCACTTATTACTGTTACGTCCTTTAAGTCGACGAGACCATGAATGATTTGCTGGCATCATAATATTTTTTTTTATGTGAGAAAGTGGCAAACGAGCTGGCGATTCACCTGATGTTAAGTGATAACCGCCGCCTACGGACATTTGCAACACCGGTTGCAGATGTGTTGCCAACTTTTAATAAGGTAGGCCCCGGCTACCTCACTCACGAGACAAAACGCAGAAGTGTAACACTACTGCTTTACGCCAGTCTTCTGTGAGGTCGTGGTACTAACCCGGACGAACCTGCCCATTCGTGCAACAGCGAACACTGTTGCGTGGCCCTACCACCGTAAAAACATTGTTTTGATAGCTTCAAAATTATTACCCGTAAACAAAGAAATTTGTTAGAAAGCTCGTTTGTGTGGTATAGTTAGTAAATTATTCTGCAAAAAGTTTGTTCTAACCCCGTCTTCTAGACCAATCTGGTTGTAGATGAGTTGCCATTGTCAGCTTTTAAAATTTTATAAAAGAGGAATCGGTTACCGCTCTGACGAGACGAAACGAAAAATGACGAATTCATCAATTCGATCCAGCTGTTTAGGAGTACATTGACGACACGCACAGAAGCATTATATTATGTACTAGCTGTGCCCGCGACTTCGTCCGCGTGGAATTCAAAATAAAATAAAAATCTTAATAAAAGTAGCCTAAGTTACTCCTTATCACATCAGCTATCTGTCAGTGAAAATCCCGTCCAATTCGGTCCAGCCGTTTCAGAGATAAGCCGGAACAAACAGACAGACAGACAGACAAAAATTGTAAAAAAAATTATTTCGGTACATGTACCGTGTATACAACCATTTAGTAAAAAAGCGGTTATTTTAATAATAAACAGACACTCCAATTTTATTTATCTGTATAGATAAAGATTAAATATCAAAAGCTCCTAGACAGCAAATAGTAGACAACACTTCCATTTGTTTATTTCACTAAGTCACGGTAGGAAATCACGATCGTTAATATAAATAAGCATTAACATACAAAGGTGTAAAGGAATAACGTAACGCCAACAAGCCGGCCCATCACGAGCACGGCTCGTTTCAAACACCACAATGACCAAGTATCCGGTCGGGGCGTTATTTCCGTTTCGGACGGGGGAAAGTTAAAAAAATACGGGTTCACAAATTCGAAATTGGCCAAACAATGTCGCTGGCGTAATAACGGAGTGAAATTATATTCTGCAATAACGAAACGGCTGTAAAAATATTTGAACACACGCGAATTTCGGATATCCTTGACGAATTAGCTGCCAACTTTATAAAAATAAGAATAGAGCATGCACAAGACAAGCGACACTAAATTGACTCGATCGAGTGACGACGTAGGGAGGCCTAAGTTCAGCAGTGAACTCGAACAGGCAGAAATGATGATGATGATGGTGATGCACAAGACGAGACGAGACTGGATGACTTCATGTGCTGGAATTACTGTAGGGCCACGCAAGTATTCGCTGTTGCACGAATGGGCAGGTCTGTCCGGGTAAGTAGAACGACCTCACAGAAGACCGGTGTAAAACGACGTAAAATAGGAGTGTGCCGGGCACAAAAAAAAATCATACAAATCAGTCCATCCGTTTTGGGTTAGGCACATATACGCACGCACAGAAGAATCCAAACTCATTTTACTTAAACTCTCATATTACTTACTCCTTACTCTTTCACGCAAATATTACTGAATGGATTTTAATGAAACTTTACAATAATATAGCTTACACATCAGAATAAGAAAAAGGCAATAATTTATATACATATTTTATATATATCTGTCTTTCTGTCTGAATGTTACGCCTTCAGCCTATTCTACACAGACGTAGTCGCGGGCAGCAGCTACTATATATATATATATTCAGAGCATCATCGAGCCCGACGGTTGTTGGTTTTTTTTTCGCGTACGTTACATAAACGAGGAGCGGCACACAATGGCTGGAACTGTGTCAAGGTCCGTTCCACGTAATTACATGTGCGACAGTCGAGTTGTAAAGCGGCCACTTGTGCGCCCGTGTTGTTATAATTGAGGATTCCGGAGGTGTGATAGTTTTTTAATTAAAAAAAACACCATTCGCCAACGTATTTTGTTAAATAGACACATCTAATTGCGTTCGGGCCAAACGGCAGGCTTGTCCGGTAAAGTACCACGGTCTCCCAGAAGACTGCCATGAGGTGGAAGAACTATTCCTTCGCGTTTCGTCTGGTGAGTGAGGTAGCCAGGGCCCACTTTACACGGATATTGCAAATGTCAATGGGCGGCGTTTATCACTTAACATCAGCTGAACCGCAAGCTAACTTGACACAATCTCACGGAAAAAAATTTAAGTATACTTGTCACAGCGATTTACCGTGGCAGGGCCACGCAGCAGTCTTCGCTCTTGCCTGAATGGCCAGGCCCATTTGGGGACGGTTCTGGACCCCACAGAAGACCGGCATGAAGTGGAACTGTCATACTTCTGCGTTTCGTCTTCTGAGTGACGTGACCAAGGCCCACTTTATTGAAAGGTGGCAATGCATTTGTAATCCTAAAGCTCTTGTATTGTAATAGAAAGGGCGACGGTTATCACTTAACAACAGGTGAACTGAGCCATGTTCCAACATTAAAAAGAAACTTATAATCGATAGCCCACGACCGCTGCACGATAAATCTATGTACACGTACGAGTACGGTGCGTTTCCACAAACTTCATAAAACAACTTACGACACAGCCACAGTCTGGCGACCGGACTCAATCGCGCTTACCTGAAAGGAGAAGTTTCGGATTAGTACAACTCAAAAGCCTTCCCGGGGCGTGGCTTGGTTAACTCGACGAAAGCAAACCGCAGCCGAGGCTAACGGAAACTAATAAATATCGTGTTACAAATGAAACGTTACAAAGCTCAAAACGGAAGTCATGTTCGCACTGTAATTAAATTATAAACTTTGTTGCGCCCTCGATATCCAAGACTAACGAGATTTGGTTAAGCCATATTCCGATTTTTTCTGTTTAAACGAATACTTTATTATTAAATCTCCAATATTGTTAATTCAATCAATAAATGTCATCACAAAAAACAATTACTTATCAAGTCTAGTAAATTGTGGTATTAAGCAAATGGCTTTGGAATTAAATCCTCTTATGTACGAAGATTTTATTTTGTGCATAAAGTTTATTACAAGAAAAAAAGGACTTAAAATACCTCACTCTATTCCGAGATCATGGAAATCTTCTTATTCGAAGCGTAGGGAATTTAACACATAATTGAACGTGATAAAATCCGTAGAGCAATTCTATTTAGGAGTAAGCCATATTCGGTTTAGAAGTTTTCATAAATTCCTCGCATACAGATCGTTTATCACGCTCTTGGATTTTCCTTAATCACGATCGTAAATTTCGTAGGTAAGAGGAAGTCATTCAATTACATCTTAACGTTACTTCTAACGATTTTAATATGTTCGTATATAATATATGGTGGATATTTTTAAGTAATATTACAGTTCTATGAACCGTCCCTGTTATTATTCCCTTAATCCGTGTATCCAAATGTTTAAATCTTTAATAGTAACAGAAAAACATCTTGAGTGTTTTTCCCCTCCAAGGTTAATTTAGCGATAAGGGAATACAATATGTTTAATCAACATTATACATATCATTATACATATACCATACCTCAAAGATGAAAGGTGTGAAATCGTAATGTTATACTTCTGCGTTTCGTCTGGTTAGTGAGGTAGCCGGAGCCCACTTTATTAGAAAGTGGCAACGGATCTGCAACCCTACGGATGCCGCAAATGTCCGTGGGCGGCAGTTATCACTTAACATCAGGTTAAACAGCTAGCTTGCCACTTCTAAAATAAAATAATATAAAAGAACAACACTCAGAATTGCTACAATAACCCTAATTACCCCACTTAACCATTAAATGTTAATATTGACAGCAGAAAAAAAAAAACAATAACTTGATTAGCAATCACTAAGTATCTATCAACAAGGCAAACGCTTCAATTAAAACGGGAACGAATGTTTGCGAGGAAGTTAGCTAATTTAGTTAGCGGATTGTTGGTCCAATTAAAACGTGGAACAAATGCCCCACCGCTAAAAACTTGACGGGTCCTTCACCCTATCCAAACAAACGAATTTCCACTTTTGTTATACGGGAAAGCCTGCATTGCCTATTCGCGCTATGGAGAGGAAAAAAAACACTATGCGTAGAAGATTGTGGCAGCCCTGGTTCAATTGAAGATAGCTCCGTGGCGCAAGGTATTAGCTTCGGCGTCGGGGGCGTGGGTTCGATTCTCACACGGGACAACTATTCGTGTGACCCACTGATAGTTGTTTGGTATCTGGGTATATTTCCGCGTGAAATTTATGTTTGTAAAACGTCCCTACAACACAGGATAATGTTATCCTAAAGTAAGGGGAATGTTTAAAAAAAAAAAAAAACAAAAAACAAAATAAATAGTTTTTTCTAGTTTATAACCTATGATTGCCATGTCTCCATAGAGTTTACTTCTGCTAAGTCATTTTTATAGCGGCACAGCGATACTGCGGCCGAATTGTAAATCTCCAACTCTCCAGAGTGTATGTTTTAACTTTAATGCAAAAATAGGAACTCAAATACAGACATAATAAGAGACACATTCTAAAATTTCGTAAAATTGCTACGTGTTTTGTCAAAGTTATAATAATATTGAGCAAATTTTGGGGCGATTTAATCATCGAGACTGTGCCAATCTTTATTCACCTCCAATGTAGCTGCGTTAATAATTTGGTGATTCTACTAGCGAGCCGCCATACGGGTGCAATGTGTTATACGTATAAACCTTCCTCGTGAATCTCTCAATCTAGTAAAAATATCTATTAATCTAGCATCAAAATCCGTTGCGTAGTTTTAAAGATCTAAGTATACATAGGGACAGACAGACAGCGGGACGACTTTGTTTTAAACTATGTAGTGATGCACGAAAGCACATTACGGGCGCGTCAACCGGTAGACACAGGTTCAAATCCCATAGCGCTGAAAATTTTTTGACCATTTAACTAAAATACTATATACTTTTTTAAGTTTCATCTTAAGTGCAGGGACTAGCACTCAAGGAAATCTTATGCTAATAAAAATAAAAAGCTGAAGTTTTTGTTTGTTTCATTTAACGTGCTGATCTCTGGAACCAGTCGGATTTGAAAAAATCTTTTGTAATTGATATGCCAATTCTGGAAGAAGATTATAGGATATTTAACACCACGCTACGAATTACGGGGGCGAAGCAGAAACGTTTCTCGCGTATGTAATCGCACGGAACTGCTAGTTAATCTTAAAAACTTTAATACCAAAAGGCGACATCTCTCTTTTCAAAACATTCATTACATACATATGCTTCGTTCATCATATATATATGCTATAAAAGCTGCGTACGTTTCGCGAAATCAATGGTACATTTAAATGCGTTAAACGAATTTCCATAAATTTAATATTAACAAGAACCGGGATTCAATCAACGCTCCGACAATAATCCCGGCCTATTAATGTATTAAAACATCGCCGATGGTCCGATGACACCATAGTACCAACAAGTTGCTGCGAATTAAGCCGTTATTAATTAAATTTACAGAACTCGCGCAATTAACGGGCCGAATATTAATTACTGAGTCGCATGCGGTGGCATAAATTTATCGGACTACGCGGACGCCTAAATAAACAGTTCGGACGGAGCAGCCAGCGGCTAGTGATGAGCAACGCGGCGGCATCTGTCACGTGACTCAGGGCCGGTTGACTCACTTGACTCGGCGCCCGTGACTCAGCGCGTGACGTCCTTCTCCAACGCCCCAACAACCGGCCCGAGCGAGCGGGACGGCCGTGAACCGAGCAATTAGAGATCACGTTGACTCGTCAAATGCTTCATATAAAGCATTATTAGCTCTATGAATACGTCTCGGATCCATTGACATGCGTTTCGATTTCGACTTACACGCGTAGGGGTGAACGTTCCTTTGACAAATACAATAACGTCTGCGAGATTCTCTCTCTCAAAGCGATCGCGTACTTACGTGTTAGTTTGAATGCCCGAATGCTTCGTTAAACCCAGACACCGAAAGTTCTCGATTACTTAAGTAGAAAAATATCCACGGAATAACAAAGGTCGCACTTGACCTCGGCCTAATAAAGACGCGCCATATTTTTATGGCCAATCATCCTTCTTAGTTTCTAAAGAGAACAGAAATGAAATGAACTTTCGGCGTCTTTTGTCGTAACGTTGAAAAATTTAATCAGAACTGTAGCCGCTTCCAAGGCAATTTAGTCTCGCGGAGACAATAGGGCTGAAACAGAAGCCCTTTAACGGCGATGTGATCAACAAATCAATTTAAATTAAACTTTAGGAATATATAAAACAACTGTCACTATAATCAGCGAAAAGTTTAAAGGCAACTAAACTTTTCCAACATTTAATATAGCTAGGTAATGGACGTGTAACTTGCGACCTCTGTTTTAGCGAAATTATAATTAATTGAAGTATGAAATATAACAAATAATAATACAACAAACACCAAGCAACGCAGTTTTAATGTGTTTTCTTAACTTGTACCCTTATTAACACACTAACGCCCGGTTTCTGAAACACTGATCATCGTAGATGTCAACTAATCAGCTGTCAAATGACTTTTCAAATTTGATTTTAGCTGCCAAAATGATTGTTAAAGTCACTGAATTGACTAGAATGATCTTCTTAATGATCAAAATGATCAATTCAAAGAGTTTAACCATCTTTTTGGCAACTTAAAAGTTTGAAAAGCCATTTGACAGCTGATTAGTTGACATCTACGATGATCAGTGTTTCAGAAACCGGGCGTAAGAGCTAAGAAGAAAAAAAAATACGTTTTTTATTTAACAGCTAGATACTTATGCTTTGTATTATAATTTTGATAAAGCTATGGTCTCGAAATACTAAATACTAAAATTTTACTTCAGTGATCTTAGAACAAGACTTAACCACGATAATCAAGACACTGTTACCCTTTTGCCGTCCGATTGTTACAACATAAATTGATTTTGAACACTAGCATATTAATTATTGTTATTAGTGATATTAACATAATGCGGCAAAGCTGTACAGATAATTATAATTACCGCGATTGCATCGCATTACGAGTATCTCTTCGCTGATGAAATGAACAGAGTTCATGGAAAAGTATCGTTAGAATTCAAATATGAATTATTTTGTAATACGAAAAGGGATTTCATTTTGTAAATAGCACAAAAATACGCTGGCATTCGTTGTGGTATCGAGCGATAAAAGGACCTAATAAAACTAAGCCCATCTCGTGCTATGGGTACTGGGTAACTGAGAAAAATACTTTTCTTAAGTAAAGAAATACATATAATACATATAACAATAAACCCCCAGATACTAGAAAAACACTATGTTCGTGGCTTTCAGTAGTGGAGATCAAACCCACACCCTCTGGCGCAAGAGACAGGGTCATTGTCAACTACGGCAATTGGGTCGTCATGCTATCTCAAGAATTCTTCGTTCGATGGAGCTTGGAGTCTACGGGCTGAATCCAAAAACATCAAAGTAAAGTAGAATGACCTGTTTAGGAATAAATATTAACTGGTTAAGACGACAGTTAATTGAGACTTCAGCCTTAAATATAATAAATGAATGGGTAAGTACGCCATGGACAATGTGATATTCCGCGCAATATATCGGCGAATACGACTGGGCACGATCAGATGAGCTTCGCATATCACGCCCGCCTTTTTGCAATTCAAACGGGGACGAATTTCCGGCTGGATAAATATTTGGCTGCAACAAAACATTGATCGCGCACGGCCGATGTTATTTTCGCGGGCTTTGCGAATCCCGCGCCATTCGGCGGCGCGGCGTCTCCCGCGCGAAATGTATTTCGTCACGTTCGCCGACACCCCGAATTAAGCCTTTGATGGATCTTTGTTTAGTCTGCGACGCCGGTACAGGGATTTTTTAGCTGTCTCCGAGATAAATCGTTGGAGTCGGTGTAGCTGCGAAGCAATTTTATTAGAATAACCTCCCAACGATCGCCTTGACGCTCCTTTCGCGTGAACGAGAGATTTGTTTTGAATGAAATCAAGTTGACGCCGGACCAGCGAAGAGGAATTCATTTTAAATTCAATTAAACATACATTTTACTGTTATTACAGCAGTAACTATATCGTGTTTTATAACGTTTCCATGGAGTGATAGTTGTTTAAAGTTAAATAATTAACAACATGAAGAGAATAGGAGAAACCAATCTGAATACCGTAAAAAATTCTTTTGTTTATGCAAAACTATAATTGTAAACAAAACAATTATATTGCTTGTATTTGTTATGAAATTCCCAACGTTCTGTTTACTTTGAACATGAAACATACATCCTGCACAGAAAACCAAATTAGAAGAGACAACATCGGCAAATTAGTTAGACATACTAAATGTCAATATCAATTTAATTGAATATTAAGAAAATAGGCAATAATAAGAAAAAGTAAATAAAGATTTACAACATTTAAGCGCTTACTTATAAGCGACAGCTGTCGTCTTTGAAGGAGAAATTTCGAAATGGCAAAGTTGTTTCTTGCGCCGCGCAGAAACGGTATTTTTCTCACGCCCTTAGCGTTATGAAGTAACTCCTTGGAGGAATTTGATGATTTATGCCCAACGAAACTCACTGACGGACGTTTTGTAGGGCCACAAAAAGTAGACGTGAATAATGAGGGTTGGGTAAGCACTGTTTTCGAGTGGTGATCATGTTAATGCAGTTGAAAGCTGTGTTTGAAAGAATGTATTTTTTTTTATTTGGCTGGTGTTTTTGCTTTCAGTACGTTGCTGTAGTACGTCCACGCAATTTATTTGGCTGTTGCATGAATGGGCAGGTCCGTCCGGGTGAGTACCACGACCTCGCATAAGATCGGCGCGAAGGGGAACTATTGTACGTCTGCGTTTCTTCTGGTGAGTGAGGTAGCCGGGGCCAATTATTAAAAGGTGGCAACGCATCTGCAAACCTACGGGTGTTGCAAATGTCAAGTGGCGGCGGTTGCCATGTAACATCAGGAGAACCGCTAGCTCGTTTGCTACCTTCTCACATAAACGTAGACTACTGAAGCTCCATCGGACGCAGAGCTAGCTAGATCCAGAGCTTGATTTGACCCTCCCCGTTGGGTAGGCTTAATGTGTTCATGCGTGCGTTATCCAATGGGATGAATGCATCCATATTTCAGTTTGAACCTTGCATTCCCAACCGTTGGTCGAACATTGTATCTACTACTGTATAAACATATTCCGTACATACAATGTCCTCATTGTATGTACAGAATATGTGTCAGATATAAATATGATGATTGCTAGCGTCTTATCGTCTGAGTATGGTACCGGAAGCGATAAACAAGAGAATTCTTGTAAGTTTGTGTACTTAACAGCACTTGCGTATGTAACTTACTCATATATTCGTCACATTAGCGCCCGGCTACCTTTTAAAATGTTGATCATTTTGTTACATTTACGCGAATATTATTAAATGAAACTATAATCCGTGACGCGAAACTTCACAAAATGTTTGATACGTCATATTCATATGTACGTCATATTCATATTCATAGGTATTTTGATGAATCTCTTCCGGAATGGGCAGGTCCGTCTAGAGAAGTACCACAATTTAAAAAAAACCGCCGTGAAGTTAAAGTACGTACTTCTTCGTTTCGTCGGGTGAGTGAGGTAATTAGAGCCCACTTTATTAAAATATCATCTGAAACATCCATGGGCAGTGATTATCACTTAACATCAGGTGGACCGCTAGTTCGCTGGCCACATTCTCAGATAAAACAAAGAGTACTACAATTATTTTAAGTTATTTCGAACATCACACGTGAACTTTGAATACTGTTATAAATATAGCTTACATATTAGGTAGGTACAGTCACGGCGCAATCACAAAATTAACATCGAGTATTTATGGCAACCTATCGTAATAATTGAAAGCGGCTGTCACAACGTCACGCTACCATAACTCTTGGACAGTGGCACAGCGATATAGAACTCGCTCAATTCTAAACCGCAAAGGTCAACACGTCGCTAGCGTGACGCGGGTTCAAAATAATTGATTTTTCGAGAACAAAAAGCCGCCTAACATAAGGCGGAACCGATTAGATTAGTAACGCACCGCGGCATAAGGAATTTAACCCATAAATAAAACAGTGTGAGGTTGGGCGGAGGCAATATGCGGCCGTTTTGTTCCATACAAGGCCCTTTCGCCCGTCCTCGCTTGAGCGGTTAAGCACCGGGAGTACAATATAGGAGGCGATAATAAAAAGTGAGAGCTTTCAACCCGTCGTAAAGATAATAACTTGGGCATGCCTCGGTTGGAAATAAAATAACTCGTTTCAGGTTCGTAACACCGGTGCTGGCGACGTCGAAATTATCGGCGAAATTCTGACTGAGATTGCCTCAAACACGCTCCAGAGGACTTCGACGCATATGTGGCTCGACAAAAATTCGACGCGTCCGAGAGTAATCCGCTAATTATAATTAGTATATTTGTAGATTTTTGGAGTGAATTCAGGAAAAAAGGTCAAACGATTATTTTAAAATCGGACTGACAACGTATGAGGCGTTGCTAGAACATCTGATGACTCCGTGGCGCAGTAGACGAGGTTTTGGCTTAGACGCCGCGAATCGTAGGTTCAATTCCTAAAATGTATAACCATTTGTGACCCACAGATAGTTGTTTAGGATCTGGGTGTAAGAGCAATGCTTTTAAAGAAGTTTGAGTGCATAAACAGTTATAATTTGATTTAATAGGAATTATTTTCGAGTGCATGAAACGTTAAAATTGACAGGAGTGTCCCACAGCTGGGCAATGGTCTCCTGTGCCTTTTTCCACAGAACTAAATCTTAGTTTTTCTCTTAGGAGCCTAGAATCTACTTTGACCGCAGTTTGGCCAAACATAAATACAAAACGATTTCTTTTGTTTACGCGTTTATGCACATTGTTAAATAAAGCCACGCTAAGCCAAGTGCACCACGAAAAGTGCTGGAAAAGGTGGGAATTGAAGACAAAATTAAACGCGGGAAAGTCCGTAAACAACGCACAGATAAACATAGACAACGTCGGTCATCTGGAGAGCGCGCAGCCGGAGACGGTTATAAAGACAAATCGCCAGATTTATTTCTAAACGCATTACAACTTGTGCGGAGTTCGCCGCTAACGGTCGCTTATTTGCCGCCACTGACCAATGAGCTGTCGTCTGTTGGCGCGATTTTTTACTTAGCCCCATTACGCAGCGGGTAATGCGGAAAATATTTCGTCGTATAACGATAAACCCGAAGGGCGCACTAAAGGGGACGCCGTACGAAGTTCCATAAACAACAGAGTGCTTTGAACGTTATAAAAACGCGGAAAGGAAAGTGGAGGTGTTTTAATTAAATCTATAATCATCATCATCATCAGTTCAGCCTGTATGAGTAAACCGATGACCACAGACTGCCACGAAGCACAATCCTGAGCCACCTGTATCCATTAATTTCACGCACACTTGCATACGATTGCAATTGAATTTATTTTTTGTCGATTTTTGGAATGCGGTTATACCGCATTCCCAAAATGTCTGTATTATTAAATCAAAAACTAGTCCGTGTCTGGGTACGAGTTAAGGTTTATCCTAAACATTTCTTCTTGTTTTTAAGCAAACTTGGCCAAATGTTTTACAAAAATTCAAGCATCATCAACCCCCCAGATATGATGTAGGTATATAAATGACAAAAAACACTAATCCCCCGAGGGGATCAGACTTTGATTACAAAAATCCGCCCCAATTAATCCGGCCGCGTCGCATTAGAACACCGTCGTAATTGATGCTCTAAAGCAAGTGACAGCACCAAAATCACGCGACGCGCCACTGGTGCGAATTATGTGTATTATACGCCGAGTATTAGTGCTATACTCAGCGTTCACGTACGGCACGGCCATAAAGCGGCGGCTGCCGACGAAATTAGCACGCACTCGGAAAGCGTAGCATCGCGGCCGACGTTCCCGGCCCGTAATTAGTTACGGAAAACTCGCAAAGCCGTACAGCCTTCGTAAGCGGCGTTTTAAAAGAGCACAGACCGCCCGTGTCGCCCGACTTAATTCTTCGCGAAATCCAATTAACAACGGACGCTGCAGCGTTCGGCGCGTAACTGGGCCCCGAATTCATTTGGCGCATTAATTAATCATCGTTATCAAAGTGAGGCAGACCTCTCGCGGCTTTGGCTCAGGCTCCTGCGTGGTGGTAGAAAAATCAATCAGAAAAACAAGTTTCTACTAACTAATAAGTGCAGAAGGTAAGGGATAGCAGAAGGTAAGGTAAGGAATAGCAATGAAAAAACGGATAAATAACGACAATGGCATGGTTACAAAGATTATGTTGGTGGTGGTGACAAAGATTATGCTGCTGGCTTTTCCAACACTTGAGTGTGAGCCTCCAATTACCGCACTCAACAAGCGGAACCAACAGTGTAAACGATTATTTCACGCCGGGCTTCTGTAAGGTCGTAGTACTAC